ATCTCCTTCTAAGTATACTATATACTTCTAGACTCAATAAAAAGTTCTAAACATTCTTCTTAATGGAACTAATGATCTTATTCAAAATTATGTTTAGCTCAACTAGAGTACTAGACAATCCAAATTTGCCTCCCTCAGCAACATATCTTCAAAGGTTAACAATTTCTCACCTTACAAATTCCATTGCCTTATCCTCGAGAAATAATTTCTTTTGATTTTGTTCTTTATATTCTTAAAATAGGCATCCATAGCTACTACTCTATGTTGTATGGTCAAATTCGCTCTTTGAATCACATTACAATCTTTGCAAGCAGATTTTTCTTTCCTTCTACGTAGAAATCTATTTATGATTTGATTGCTGCACTTTTTAAGGGCTTTTCTTTTTTTTTTTTAATATGTGCTAATTATTACAATATCATAGGCTATTGTGAAATCAAGTATGACTTCTATCATTGCATTTCTATCTCATATTCCACAACTACCATGAAAGTAACCCATCATAGTATTTGAAAAGCTCATTAAGAATCTTTTTTTTTGTAGTACCATTGTTGGCATTGTTGTGACTCTCATTTGACCATAGGCCATCTTAATTTTCAATCATTTGTAGTACCACTAGTATTAATGATCGAAAGAAGCTAAGGTGGCTCATTCCACATTTAATGAAGTCCCATCAAACTATTATAACTACTATAAGAAACAAGATCCTAATGACAAAATTGTATATTAAGACAACCACTTAAAAGGTTAGTCGAAGATGGCGTTTTAAGTCAATGGGACTACAAGATCACAAAATTCATTTATTTTACCTCGTTCGCTTACATCTTTGATAGGCTTGTTCATCCCAAAGCTTCTAATCGTAACCCCCCCCCCCCCCCCCCCCCCCCCCCCCCCCCCCCCCTCTATAATAGTGTTGATAGCCCAACATGGTTGGATGACGATTGGATAAGCTTTGATTATTTGATAGATTTTTTTCAATCATTCTTGGCAAGTATCTGCTGAGGAATTATTCAGGAGACCCTCCTTGGCAAGTATCTGCTGAGGAATCATTCAGGAGACCCTCTTTCAAGACTTGTTCCAGCAAGACCTGAATGTTCCGATAATCATCAATCTTATGAAGGTGGGTGTTGTTCTTATGAGGAATTGTTCAAATCCATACTCTTCAAATGAGCACTAAACTAGTCCAAATGTTTAAAGTACTTCGATCCTTGGATGGTGATGGCCATAGCTCATAATGAGCAATTAAAGGCAAGGAGAGGCTCTAAACAACCAATATAGTGGAAGTGAGAAAAGCTGCATCCCAACAAGATAGAGCACCAACATAGTGTCCGTGAAATTCCTCAAAGGATTCACAATGAAAATCCTTGATCTTGATGTCGACCAAAGCCAATCCCCGGTATGAGGAAGTGACCCTTAGTGAGCTCCTTATTATTAATATATTTGTTTGCATTTTGTAGTAACAAAGGCATTGATTATGGAATTTTTTAAAGACTGCAAAACTTAATCAACTATCATAAAGTCCTTACATTGAGGTAACGCAAGCAATAGAGGGGTTAGGGTTGGAAACCTCTAGCATCACTTAGTTGAATATGCTTACATAGGCTTGAAAATAATCATTCTCACCCTATTATGGGCGAATGAGTATCTAGTAACTATTTTTTAGCTTCTAAGAGCTTGAGAACTAAGCATGAAGTTGCTTCCTAAATTTTTCGTATGAGATAGCTCCCAAAGTTGTGAGGCAAGCCCAGCTTCAAAAACCATCATAATGTGGCATCTTTCAAGGTATTGAGCATTCTAAATATGATCACATCTAGAAGTGTTGTTGCTAGTTATTTTGACCTTTATAAAAGTCTAAAAAAGAGATACATCCATAAAGAATAACATCAATTGAAGAATCGAAATTGTGTAGGAGTGTGATCCTTCATCTCAAGACATCACATCTATTCTTAACTCTTGCACTTTTGGCATAGGCATCATAATATTGAATGTCATATCTTCAACTCCTTCAATGTTAATGATGAGAAGCTCCATGCATGGTGGAGAGTGGTGTCAGTCATAGTATTCCTTTCAAGCATTTTGAGCAAAAAGTGACGATATTTTGAGTTTCCATCATCCTCATCATGGAATCGAGATTTGAGTTCAATTCTTTGAGCTATAAGCTTGAGTTGTGAACACTGGGAGTTAAAGTTTCACCACTTGTCCACAATAGATGTGTTCTTCATACTAGAGAAAAGGTCTTGTTAATTATCTTGCTCACTAACTCCTTTTTTTTAGGGAGTCAGTATCTCAATAAGAGCACTAGAAAAAAAAAAGTTCCAAGTCCAAACTTGGTAACAAGATATCAAAAAATTATATTTTTAGGAAGGAGAATAGGGAACTCAAATAATTTGAGAATGGTGAGGTAGCAATGTCAGCGCTAAGACTAAGAGAAATAGGTATACATAAAGTTTTATTAAAGTCGGAGTTGTATGGCAAAAGATTTGTTGATTGCATATCCAAGAACAAGGATTTGAGGCTCTGTTTGTTCAAGGATGAAACTTGCTAGCTCGCCCTGAAAGGCCAATCTTTTTATATATTTTTTTTTTCATATGGGATAGTCTCCTTTGGGCCCACTCCCTTCTAATTTGAGTTATGCTTCTCTTAACATGAGTAATTGGTAATTCCAAGCAGGTGTTCATATTTAGGTGCAAATAAGGGTTGAAGATCTAATCATTAATCTTTTTTGCTTTAACACTTTGAAGGTCATATCTAAAGTGTGCTCTAATGGTGGGGGACATGCTCCTTCCTAACATTGGCAAGCAACATTCTCTTTTGCATGTTCAGCACATGTACCCTTGCATGTAAAGAAAGCTTAGTTGACTTCGTATGTATGCAACCACCACATATCCTCTTTCAAAACCAATCGTGTCCAACTTTCAGCATTTAAGCCAAGCATTCCAAGATTTCACAGGGAGGATGTTCAAGTTTTGGCCCTAATTAGTTGATGTAAGATGCCTACTTGATCTAGTTTCAATTAGTCAACTCTTCCAAGTGTCGAGGTTCTTCCCAAATTATCGTTTTGGACTTTTACCTAACCAGACAGTGGTGCAAGCAAATTTATAAAAGTACTTCTACAAGTGCAAAGCTTCTCTAGTCTATTTTATGACTAGGACACATTTGCACTACTCTCAAACATTTCATGTCTGACCAATTTTAATCCAACTTATCATGTTAGAAATTCTTTCGAGGGATGTTACATGTATTAATTGACTTATCTAGTTATAAGGAATGAGTAGTTGTTGAATTTGGACTAATCAAGCATAGCAAGTTGTCAGAGAATAGTTGTCTGCCGCCAGTCACTTGTGAATTAGTCATGAGCTCAATTTTGTTTTGCTCACTTGGTTTGTTAAAAGTAGGAAATATGTGTTCAAAGAAGTGTTAAAGCACCAATGCTAAATTAGCACTTGATCGCAATGCACACCTAGGGAGTATATGGTGATATGAGTCTATTGCATGGTACTGTTGGCTATGTTACACTCTAAGTGCAGACCTATTTATGGGTATTCTCCTATATCTACCTCACGGACATCCCAATTCTTTTCTAATGAAAGAATCATGTTTACCACTCACACCAACCAGATTCAAACCAAGATTCATGATTCTCAATGATGCTCTCTTGTATTTCTCTTTTATATTAATTGTATGTCATCTGAGTTGTATTTGAGTTTCTAATATATTCTTATTTCAATAGCTTATGAGTAGGCTTTTAGAATGTTGTAGAAATTCCTCCTTTCTACTCTATATATAGAACCCCTTATGCATGAAGCAAAATAATTGAAGTTGAATACAAAGTTTTTTCTTAACAATTCACCTCTTACATCCCATGGAGGGTGATCCATGCCTCCTCTTTGGGTTATGTAATCCCATCCCCTTAGCACATTTCTCTCCCACTTAAAGTTGTATCCTTTTTTCTTAACTATCGCTACAAGTCCGTTAGAATCACTACAGAACAGGCCTAACGCCTTACTAATCCTTTCAATACATACTTCTAATTCCAGTCAAATATTGGAAGTTCTGTCAACCAATCAATGTCAGCATTGTGCCACTGCTTTTAACTTACTTCGCTAACTCATGAAGCTCATAGTTTACATCATATTCACTTCAGCAAGTGCACCCACCAATGTCTGATTGAATCGTTAGTTGGCTCCTTCATTCCTCCAAAAGCTCGTAGGAACTCCAATCCTCATAGAATTTACTTGTCTAGCATCATACCTACACCTCATAAAAAAAAATAGTAATCTCTTTCCCTTGCTTCTTCTATTATGATGCAATGTAAAGGATGCATCCTTGCCAAGCAACCCTCTTCAAGGCTTGGGCATAGCTCATGTTTTACAGCAAACTAGGCGTAGTATTTTCAAACTTTTACCACACAGATAATTGTGCATGGTAATTTTCTAGTGCTGATAACACTTATATTTAGCACCAGATGAATCATTTATCCTACTTAATTTATTCAACTTAGTTGGATTTATGTATGGTAGCGACATAATCTAACCAAGAAAACTATCCAGATCAGTTATATTTCAACAACCAATTTAAGCCAATTAAGGGGTGTCTGTCAAACTGCCTTGTAGATTGTTAAGCACAAAATAATTCAATTAAGCAATTTTGAATAAAATGGGAACATGAAGGACGTGCGGTGATGCCCACAAATAGAAAGTGAGAGGTGCCTAACACATTATAAGTAGGTGGAATAACCTTTTATTGAACATAAGTAATTAAGAACACGAGAACAGAGCTTTTGCAAGGAAATAAAATAAATTTACAAAGAAGATGAAAAAATTAGTAGTATGCTAAAATTAACATGGTCAGAAGTTGATTAATAAGCTTCAGCCAAAAAGCAAGTCTATAACCATGTGCAGTATATCATTAGGAATGACATATCAGTTAAAATTCAAAAGCAAAACCCAAATTCTCTAAATCAGACTATAATATCATACTGAATAAAAGTACAAATCACTCACTCGACACTTAAGCTTAGGAACATATAAAGAGCCATCACCATGGGAAACCAGTTCAGCAATCGGCTCTTCCTTGTGATTTCTAAAGTTGGAGCCATAGTAATCCTTATAGATAATATTCTCACCACCCTTGCAAGTAAAGCTTGTATCCATATCAGGGGTGCTATTAGATCTTTTAAGCTGATTATTACTGTCTACAGATCTCGTAGTTTCTTCAGACCCATCATTGGAATGAAAGCTCTTACAAGATTCTTCCCTGATAAGATCTTCAAGGAAAATGCACTTAAAATATTTGGTGTAGCAACTTATCAAACAAAGGCTTATGTTGAGATGGAAACCAGTTTTAATTTAACATACCTGCATTATTTTTGTTTGTGTTGGTTGAGAATTCTTTCCCGGAACCCCTAGCAGGAATGTCAGTGCTCATGATGACTAAATCAATCTTACCAGATCCTGAAGAAGCTTCAGCTTTCATAAGCTTCGCAGTCTTCTTTTTGTAGTTTCTTCCTTTCGTCCACATGTTTTCAAGATTTTCAGGAGTGAGAACTTGAGTTCTTCTTTTTGTAGCAGCTTCTAGTATAAGGGCCCATTCTGCTGCCCGAGGTTGAATGGCAGGTGAAAGACCTTGCAACATGGTTTGGTGGCCTTGCTCCAAGCCAGATGCTACTCCATCAGCTTTACTCAATACCAAGTCGCCAGTATGAGTTGAACTCATAGTCCTACTATGTTCAGGCTCAACAACCAAAGTATTTGCCTCAAGCACTTTATCAGCTTGAGCGGGGTAAGTTGCCTCCAATGACCCGTAGGGAACAACCTCTGTCCCCACATTGGCATTATTCGAGAGGAAGATATATTCAATCAGTTCATTAACGTACCTGATTGAAATGTTATTAGCCACCACTTCAGGATATCATACAGAGATGAAATTTGTGGAAATTGGTTCCATGATGAAATTGAGATTTAAAATATTTAGCACTACAAATCTAGAATTCCTAAGAAAAAGAAAAATAACAGCAAATGGAATCACATAACAAGCCCAAAACTAAGATGGCTACAAAACAATTTAACATTGTTTGATAACCAATTGCCGACCACCAATTTGGTTGTTAATTGTTTTCCAAAATACGTGTAGTCTTTTTGCTAGTTAGCATATTAGCCATTAAACAACATAAATGAATTGCGGTATAAACAGAGCAAACTAATTTTACTAAGACACAGTGCAACAAATAAAAAATAAGATAAATTGTATGACCACAATGTGTAAATATTTAAATTAAATATTACAATGCCTGAACCCGTGCATGGATTAGATTCATAGCTAAAAAGAAATATATATCCAGAAATATATTATAAGCTTGAGTCTAAAATTATAGAAGCATAATGAATTACAGTCTGACTTAAAGTTAAACTTTAGAACATAAAAAAATAAAAGGAATTTAAAATAGTGAATGGCTTTCTTTAGATTAGGAGTTTATAATGCGAATAAAAGAAAGGAAATTACGGGACAGATTTCTTAAGTAGAATCTTTTTTCTAAGCCAAAACGGCATAAACAGAGAAAGAATTTGCACGATTGAAGTTCCAATAATACCCAAAAACCCTTGCTCTAATAATAAAGAAATAAAAGACTAATCCATCTCAACCCTAGCCCATCCAACTTTTATCGAATGTGGGTATATACATATATGACAGATATTAATTATGAAATATCTTTTAGTGTTTTTCTTTAACTCTCAATTAACAATGAGATGAATAATTTATTTTCCTACTTAGAACCAGCAACGGAGGGGAGGAGGGCCAGCGGGGGCATTTGTTATCGAACCTGACGGAGGCGACTAAGGGGTCAAAGTTCAAGCCTGCATGCGAACTGCAGTTGATGATGGGAGAGGGATCGATCGGATGTGCAGCTGCAGGCTGTGTACGGGATCAGGTCAAAGACGAGCGGGATCGGCCGAGCATGAAGGCTCATGTGGCTAGAGGGATCTCGCATCAAGGCCAATTAAACGAGAGGGAACAGCGAGCGGGCACCGGGCTTCATCTTCCTTGCAGAAAGGTGAGGGCGAATAGAGAGGGGAGCATAAAGCAAGAGACAAGCTCGACAGCGATTGAGGGAGACGAGATCGAATCGTTATGCTCGATTGGAGCAAGATTTATGATAAATCCTGCCAAATAGGATTTAGGGAACTGTTAAATTTCACATTGAGTTAAATCCTTTGTTTCCCTCTTCTATCTTGTGCTTTTTGTTTCAAGCATTTGAACACTCAGCATTTCACTTTCATTTAACACTTTCATTCTTTACAATTCTACTTGTAGCCTAACAATCCATTAGTAAAGCTTTGTTTGGAACAGCTTTCTTATTGTTTTATGAATCAACTTTTTAATACAAAAAATTCTTGAACTATAAATTTTTATATTAGAAAGTAGTAAGAAAGCTGTCCCAAATGAAGCCTAAGTTTCAATTTTTTTTAGTTTGTTTCCTTCCATTTTTTGTTCTATTATAATTCGAAATTTAGGATTGAAATTTTGTTAAAATAAATTTAGGCCTTCCCGACAAAAAATTTATGCCTCCGTCACTGTTTAGAACACCACACAAAAAAGGCAAAGACTACGGATCCATTCTTCTCTCTTCGTTTTCCCTCCATCTAAATCATTTCTTCTCTTCCATTAACTCCCAATCAGTGATTTACCATGTTATAGTTTGTAAGGGACACCTGGCAAAAACATAATGCTGGAAACTTTAACATGAGAGGGGAGAAATTCAAAGAATAGAGGACTCCCTAATCAGCTCTAAAAGAGGGGAATAGAATTGCTAGCTTGTCGTAGCTAGCCAAAGTTTAGTACAAGAAAGATCAAGTCGATAAAAAATCGCACATCATAAAAATTCCAAGCTCAGATAAATAGCCAATAAGCATTAAAACAAATACTAAAAAGGTAGGTAGGGCAGAAAAATATTATCAAAATTAGACGAACCATAAACATGCTGACTAAAACCATAGCACGGTACATGAAGATCAAGGCTAAAACAATATCTAAAAACCTCGTGGCAAAAATAAAACAAAGTATAACCAAATTGTGATTTCAGATTTCTCCATATAAATAAAGAGACCAATTTAATCAAAAGTCTCCATATAAATGGAAAGACATTTATCCTCACTTGCATTCATTACATATAAAACTTCTTCCAAAATATCCCTAATGAAAGTTCCCAAAAATGCTTTCAGGTAATTTGTAGAAATAAAAAACTTACACCGGGCTAGCAAAACTCATAATTGGTTGTACGACCAAACATGTTAAAAGCTCCCGACTAATGCAACGTACTAACGAGCACTGAGCTTCTTGTGGTCGCAAAACCACTGCAAGAACTCCTCCAACCATTTGTTGAAGAACCTATAAAATACATAGAAGTTAACCATAACTGCTACATCACCACAAAAAACATTTGTAACAACAGCGAAGGAGGGCAATAAAATGACACAAAGTTACCTTATGCTCAAACTCTGGAGATACTAAAGCAGGATGAAGTTCTCTAGAAGCCATCAGCTGGCGTTTGAGTCTGTCATCTCTTTCTTCAAAAGAAAGAGTCCCCATATCGGTTCCTATTTTTGATTGATTTTTTCTAAAAAGATCCAATTGGTTTCCTATCAAATCAACCATATCCCTGAATGTAGTAAAAGGAATATGTTCTCATTATAGAAAAACGTTTTCACACTTGAGTTCAGAAAGATTGTAGATGACTTACAAAACTAACACAACAGCACCTTGTTAACAACTCGACTAGGTTGATCTGTTTAATCCTTCCCGATATTTCACCAAGCGCATCTAGAATTAATGTTCTTATAAGCTCAGGTGCCTCTTTGTCAGGGGTAATAGAAGAATACCAAAGATCGACAACAAAGTCCTGTAAAATTTTATTAATAAAATCATCTATGGCAGTCTCCACAATAGGTGAATCAATTTTTCCTCTCCATTTTGTTGCAGTTGTCACCCGAGAAAGACGGGGATCATCAACAGATAACTGCTTCTTCTCCAAATGTGACAAGTATGTCTGTCGCTGGACTGCCCGCACCTTCCAATGGAGCTCTACCTCATATGATAGATAGCGGAAGGCAACAAGGATAAGAACTGATATAGGGATATTCATCCACATTGATTTGCTTGTATCTGCAAAAAATAACAACAAACATAAACAATAAAAAATTAAACACAAATAATTATTTAGCCAAATAATGATATGTGTGCAGAGGTGGGAGAGAGATGAGAAATATAATGAAAAGTACAAGAAAAAGAAATTGAACCACATTAGACAAATACATCTTGTCTGATTATGCCAAGTAAGATTAGCTATACTTAACAGAACACCAATCATTTCAGTCATACCTTGTCATTTATTTTTCGTTAATAAACTGTCATGTGCAAGAAAATACTCACAAAAATCAAGTACATGAGGACAACATCTTAAGAAAAATATTATTATTGTCTAAAAAATACTCAAGATACATTAGCATATCTTCTTCAGAAAGACGAAATAGATCTTTAAAGATTATCTGGTCCAGTAGAAATCAACAAACCCTTGATTGAAACCAAATGCCTGTGGTGCTACAGTTCAATAATTTTATTTTATTTTATTGATACTTCAACCCAAACAGGCTAGACATCTATTTCCATTTTACTGAAGAACAACTTTATGAAAATCAAGTCATGAGCAAGATTTGAAATTATGCAATTAAGTATTGAGGCATTTTTTATTTGTGAAGCCAAGTGTAAGCCTCAAGGAGTTTTGAGGGGTAAGCCTCATAATTTAACCATTAAATTAATTAAAATATGAAAGATTCAAACATCGAAGTAATATCAAACTAAGATCATAATAATAGCTTTATCCCACACCCAATTCAACATAAACAAGTAGTTTAAGCCAATAAGATTATAATTTATGAATTCTCAGGTCTACCTCACTCATCACTAAGTGGGTCTTCATCAGAGTTATCATCATAATGAGCTGTTTTCTCTCCTACCTCATCCTAAATTGCAACTGCGAGTGAGAGAAACACCAAGTGCAAATGCAAGCAATACATGCGACCACAAACTCAGCCAAGTACGAGTGCAAGCAACGATAGATGCAAGCGCAACGTACTGTTGGTAGTCAAGAAGATGCGTGCAATTATGACTCAATTTTATTTGATTCATGCATGCAAGGTGGGTAGTTTTTCCTACATAAGTTCAGTTTCGTCCTCAAACACAAATCAAGCATTCAAAACAGGGTAGTAGACGCACTAAGCGGACGATTTGCTCTACTTAGTCAAGCTTCAAACCGAAATAACTGGCTTAGATTCTCTGAAAGAATTGTATGGCAGTGACAAAGATTTTGCGTCACCTTGGGAATGCTGTTCAGAAGGAAAAACGTGTGACAACTATACTCTTCATCATGGCTTCTTGTTCAAGGGCAATGCACTCTGTATTCCTCAATCTTCTGTGCGATAGCAACTAATCAAAGAAATGCATGCGATGGGTCTAGCGGCACACCTGAGAAGAGAAAAGACATTGATACAACTCCAACATCGTTTCTATTGGCCACACCTAATGCGGGATGTTATGCGGTTTGTTGAAAATTGTCCAGTATACAAAGGAACCAGCCAAAATACGAGGCTATACATGTCGCTATCGGTACCGGTATCCATTTGGGAGGACCTAAGTATGGATTTCATACAAGGTCTCCCTCATACAAAGAAGGGCGTTGATTCTATTATGGTAGTGGTTGATAAGTTCTCCAAAATGGTCCATTTTATTGCATGTAATAAGACCTGTGACCCCTTGGGGATTGCCAGATTGTTCTTCCGAGAAATTGTACGTCTTCACGGCCTACTGTGCATCATCACGTCGGACAGAGATGTAAAGTTCACAAGTCATTTCTGGAGAGAGCTTTCGAAGCAGTTGAAGATGAAAATCAAGCTAAATTCCACATATCATCCCCAAATTGACAGTCAAACCAAAGTGGTGAACCGCACGTTAGGAAGTATGTTGCGATGTTTAGTGCAAGACCATCTAAAGCACGAAAGCAGTGGGACGATGTGCTTAGTCAGGCGGAATTTGCTTACAATTCAATGACTAACTGATCCACATATGTGTGTCCCTTCAATATTGTCTACACTAAACCACCTAACCACCTTGTAGACATAGCAGTGCTTCCAAAATGCCACAACTCGGAAGCTCATAAGCTAGCAGAAAGCTTCAAAGATAACCTTGGAGGAAGTTCGCAACAAGCTAGAGCAATCTAATATGTCATAGCCCCAAAATTTTTCATCCAGGTGAACTTGTCATGGTGCGACTAAGGAACGAACGATTTCCTGCTGGTTCTTATTCTAAGATAAGCCCCAGAAAAATCAGACTTGTTGTTATCAAACATAAAGTGAACGATAATGCCTACGTCATCGATTTTCCATCAAACATACTCACTCGGCCAACATTCAACATAGCAAACATCTCTCCCTATCATCCTACCGATTCCACCCCTACCAGTACCAGCTCGTCAAACTCTACCTCTTCTGAGGCAGGGTAAAATTGATGTGGACACACATTATTTTTCACACTCTATAGGCACAAATTACCGCCCATATTACTACCCACTACCTCTTTAACTAATTATAGTACTATAGCATGTGATACCATTTCATTTATATTTTCTTTTGTTTCCACTGTTTTAGCAAATGAGGTGTAGAGGAGTATACTACATATATACTGCCTGGAGAATGGCGGAGAATTAGATATCAGTTTGCTTCAACTACTTTAACAGTTTTTAGGAATAAAAATTTTCCTTTTATCAACCTTTCTAAGTGAAAAGACTGAAGGTGCAGCATTTATAAATTTTCCATAAATTCCCCCCCCCCCCAAATGTCTCTAAAACCCATCCAAGCAGCATTACGATGACTGCACCAACCACAATGATTCAACCATCTAATGGCGGAAGTCGACAAAGAAAAACAAAAAACTAAAACAATTAGGAGCCGACAGATAGGAAAAGCATACGCGATAAGAAGTATGATATCCCAAAAACGCAGATGGCCCAAAAAACTGTTCGAACTTTCGCTTCCTCGACAACATCCAGCAAAGTGTTCATCGGCTTCATCTTCTCCCGTTCTTGAAGATCGCCTTCCCGATCGTCCGTCGGTAACCATGCAAACCAAAAAGGTCACGCAGCTAGGGTTCTAAAGATCAGATGTCCAGCCTGCACGAACAGTAATACACGGACAAATTCCCAGGACCCTGTGAGGATGATTCGGTCCACTCAGAAACCCTAGGAATTAGTTTTGGTATGAAGAAGGTAGGAGAAAGGAGAAAGGAGGCGCGTACAAAAGGATACGACCCAGCCAGAGCAGCCAGAGCAGCCTGTATGCTCGGCGGGCGAAGATCAGCGTCCACAAGTTCCGCGGGCCTCAGCAGTCGCGCAAAGAATACATTTTTAATAGCATGAAATAAAGCGATAATACATGCCACTTTATTTCGTATTATTTATATATCTAATATTTAAAATTTAATATTATATTTATATTATTTATATAAAATTTTAATATTAAATATATCACTCATATATTTCATTTTTATCATCCATTACACCCTATAAAATTTAATATTTTATTCCATACACCCATATTTGTTCTAGGTCGTAGGCATATAATATTAAATTTTAAAAAATTAGATATATAAATAACATGAAATAAAATAGCATATATGTAAATCTCCCTTTTAATAACTATAACAGATCAAAACAACTTCTTCTTCTTCTATTTTTTTTTATAGACATTCAAACTCACACATCAATCATATATGTAAGACTCAAATTCAAATTCTTTTAGTTGATAGTCAAAATTATCAAACAACAAAGCGAGACGAGTTACGTAAAGATCAAAACTTCTAAAAATATTTTTTTAAGATATTAAATTAAAAAATTATAAACATATGACTTTGGAAAAGAAATTGACTTTTATGCATTATAATAGTGTAAATTGAAATAATATGCCTATTATTTCATTTTTTTAAGAATTATGCCTAATAATTTTTGTTGGACTTAATTATCAACATTTATAAATGAGAATTATAATTTAAAGTATGCCCCAAAATAAAATAGGTTGAATTCCTTTAAATTCAAACCTTAAATCATACATTAATTCTATTAAGGTTCAAAATTATACAAGCCGAGTTCAAAAGCTAGATCCAAGTTGCAATTAGAGTTTGTTGTGAGCTCGTAGATGAGACTAGTGATGCTCACTAGAGCTGGTATCACGAGATCAATGAAGCTTTAATTGGGTTCACTTTGGTTAGTGAACCAATAGCTAATCCCATGATACTCCAAGAACTAAATATGAAAGAATTACTTATTATATCTCTTAATTAATCTACAAGAGCCATTAGTTTTCATTTATTTAAATAAAAGCAAACATAAGAAACCATATAAATTAAAATGTTTTTTTTATATTCGTCATATATCCAAACTCATTTACAATAGTCAAATTTCAATCAATACATTAATACACCAATCTTATTTTAATATTTTTGTCTATAAAAGAATAAAATGTAAAGTACAAAAATCTAAACCTGAAATCTTGGAATCATATCAGCCTCACTCTAATGAATCCTGGCCCTTTCTTTAAAATATGTAAAAATCATATAGTGAGCTAATAGTTCAGTAGGTTATAAGAACCTACAATTACAATTAATGTAAGGTAATATAAGCAATATGCATGTAATCATTTAATCCAAATCAGCATGAGCATGTTGCGGTGAGAATAAGTAGCATTTAATATGAATAATGTAATTTCATATGAACAATGAAAATCAATCAAGCAATATAACTTGTAGTTAGTGATCACTAGTCATCCAAAGAACTCTCATGTTTTGTCATTCTTACCCATGTCAAATATAACACAACAGGTCTATCATGAATCAATGAATGTTTATAAATAATTCTTTGTTTTAATCTATACATCATTTATATACATTTATCATATCATGCAAATATTTTGCAATTGTCGCCAGCATCACGGCACTAGTACTCTAAAGTTTTTGGTAATTTAATTATATGTTTTAGTGTGTGGCAGGCATAGTGGTGTTATAAGTCCTATAGAATGGCGCTGTGGTAAGCGCCATAGTGCTAGAGAAAATTTTAATATTCATAGTAAATGAATCCACTATTTCATTCATTCTATTTTCTTTGGGCAATCAACACTAGTGAGAGAGAGAAAAAAAAAGATTTGAGCCGCTTCTGGTTATTTGTAGCTGATGAACCAATTTTGAAAGTTATTAGGATCACAGTAGGAGACATTTTACCTATCTCAGTTTTTAAAAATATGAAGTTTTCCCAAATTTTTTATTAAATTTATATTTTCATGATAGAAAATTTGGGATAACATTATACCCATAAAACTTTCACAATGTAACTTTTTGTATGTTGTTGAGACATCAAATTTGAACATTTAGGTATTTTTATAGAAATTTTACATGAAATAATTTGAAATATGTGTTATTTTAATTTATTAAAAAATAATCTTTAACTCAAAAAATAATGTTGTAGATCACTTAAAGTCTCAAAATATTATCTTAAATAATCCCTAGCAATTTGATTAAATTCTAAAATATTATATTTCTATTCAGTAGGGTTTTTGTTGTCTATCGTTATAACATTTTGTGAAATTGTAAAATGAGTTAAGTTATGCTTAATTATTGACATGCAATTAATTATGTGTCTTATTAGTTAAAATAAGTTGTTTTAAGGAGATTTGGTGTGGGAGAAGCAAGTAGTTCTAATGTCTATAAGGCATGTTCTAGTGGTCATAAGTAATACTCTTATGCCTATAAGGCATATTCTTGGGGTTATAAGCCATGTTCTTATACTTATAATGCATGTTCTTTTGCTATAAGCACATTATATTTTGGTGATAGGCATTGGGTGTTATAAGGAGAAAGTGTGATTTGTGGCTCAAAGATATGAAGCCCCTACTTGTTTACTTTCCCAACACTATTATTTAAAAGTGTGATAGCTATAATTATTATTTTTCTCTGCATAGTGTGGTGATTTATTTTATTACTTTTACAATTATGTTAAACACTTAATAAATAAATATTTGGAAATTCATATTTGTTTAAATGTGGCATGTTGAGTTGTGTTAGTTTACATATATTTTACTTTCTATTTTTAGGGTATAAGAAAGAGAAGTAGCCAATCAAGTAGTAGTTTCAGGATCTGATATGAGTCTTTATAGGTATTTCCTCTTTTGATTTATACAGTCATGAGCAAGTATGTTGTGTACTATTTTGTACTCTAGTTGCAGCCATATATTGTAGTGTAGATATTATACATATAATTTAATGATGAGACAAAAAGAGATTTTATGAATGAATTTATTTTCATTGTTATATGTTATTAGTAGCACTGTAGTCTATTGTTTTTGTTTAAAAGTTTGTATTGGAAGAAAATTTGAAATAAAAATTTAAAACTTATATCTTAAGGTTTATATGTTGCAAGCCAACACTATAAGACCTATCCAGTATTTAAGTATTATCGATTTGGTTTATAACATGCCTTTTTTATATCAAAGCAATAGTTTTCACTACAGAAAATTCTTCAAATACCGGTGGCTTGTACCAGCGGTTGTCTAACCGCCGGTCCTAACGGCGGTTTACCCGGCGGTTAGGCCGCCAGTTAATACCGGCGGCCAAACTGACGGTATTGCAAGTTCATACCGCCGGAAATACCGTCAGGCACTAGACCGCCAGGTATACCGCCGGCCCTTAAACTTACCGGCGCTATACCGGCGGCTAAAACCACCGGTGTTAAGTGATTTGGGAATTGAATGTAAAATAGAATAATAAAAATTGATCTGTAAGTTAAGTAAGCTAATTTCATGTCTGTCAAGGCATTCATTTTATTTATTTTCATATGTATGTATGTTTAGTTGTATTTCACTACAGGAAATTCATGAATTTTCCGCGGTCCGGATCGACGGTTATGTAACCACCGGTACTAACGGCGATTAGACCAACGGTGTTTACCGGCGGTTATTTAATTTACCTCCTCCATAATTAGCGGCAGTCAAATAACCGCCGGTTAGTCTGTTGGCATTAGTATAACCGGTGCTTTACTGGAGGTTTAAACTGCCGATGTTTTTCCAGTGGTCAGAATCGTCGGAATGCCACCGGAAAAAGCCCTAAAATTAGTTGTCCCCAGCCTTTCATTTCATTTGCTCACATCATCCTCTCTCTCCCTTTTGACAGTCGCCCCCGTCTCCTCCACCCTCTCGCGATCGGGACACTCCCTCCATTGGCCAACAAGCTCCCTTCGGCCGAATATATGGCCCTCGCTCCAGCATCAAAGCAAGGCCGAAGATCTCGCCCCCACTCCTGCGTGAAACCGGCATCCGAGTCCTGTAGGTTAGGGTTTTTTTTTAATTAATCATTTGTTCTTTCATACTCATAGGTTATGATTTTGTGAATATATGGAAGGGCAATGGCTATTTTGCTCCTATGCTATCAATGGTAGGGCAATGGGTATATGGAAGGGCAATGGTAGGCACCTTCTGTATCAATAATACTCCTAATCATTTATTCTTTCAAATATGGGTATTTTTCTCCTATCATTTGTTCTTTCATAATCAAAGGTTGGGTCAATGGTAGGAACAATTATTTGGTTCGGTGAACGTACGCTCCTCTACGTTCGGCCACCAACCTTTTAGCGCCACGTAGCACGAAGAAAAGTCGCTGACTCGACCCGCTGTTTTTTGGGTTCTAGCGCATGCGTTTTTTTAATTCCTTGACGAGCCGATCAACATTCCATCACCTTTTGGATATATTTTAAATATCTAGCAAATACCGAGTTGTACCTAGTTTTTTCTAGTAATACCGAGTAAATACCTAGCAATACCGAGCAAATCCCTAGCAATACCGAGCAAATCCTGAGCAAATACCGAGTTTTTTCTAGCAATACCGAGCAAATACCTAGCAATACCGAGCAAATCCTTAGCAACACCGAGCAAATCCTGAGTTGTACCGAGTTGTACCGAGTTTTTTCTAGCAATACCGAGCAAATACCTAGCAATACCGAGCAAATCCGTAGCAATACCGAGCAAATCCGGAGCAAATACTTTTCTAGCAAATTACCGAGCAAAAATACCTAGCAATACCGAGCAAATCCCGTAGCAATACCGGCAAATCCGGAGCAAATTACCGGAGTTGTACCGAGTTGTTAGAAAAAACTCGTACAAACTCGGTTTTATATTTTTGTGTTCACAGAGCGGTATTTCTATTTTGCAAAGCAATACCGAGCAAATACCGAAATACCGAGAAATCCG